TCCTCTTCAGAAAGCATTTATAATGCACTTTTACATGATAACAGCAGCGCATTGCTTACAGAGTGTAACTATTTCCCCCCACCTCTCCACCTCATCTTTCCAGCCCTGTTTTGCACTCTGCTGTGTTGTGTGAGCCCTGAAATCACCAGTAATACTCCCTTTTGGCTGCAGCTCTGGACAGATGCTGCATTGCTTGAGGAGGGGTGAGGCACAGCCAATAAATAATCTGTGCTCAGAGAGGCTGATTGTTGGGATTAGTGCTTCAGATGTTCTTAACATCTGCAACTCCAGGACAGTCCCAAATTCATCAGCACTGGAACCTGGAAAGCAGCAGCAAGGCTGGTAAGAGCTCTCACTATGGGTTTATTTGCTGTGGATAGTTGGGAATGCCAAAGGGATTTTTCCTCCCATGCTACTATTATGAGTACTTCCAAATATATGTGAAAATGAGGTTGTGGCAAGGTGAGGGTTGGCTGCTTCTCCCAGGTAACAGATATAGGTCGAGAGGTGATGGCCTCAAGTTGTGCCAGGGGAAGTGCAGGTTTGATATTAGGAAAAAATTCCTCTCAGAAAGAGTGTTCAGGCACTGGCACAGCTGTCCAGGGACTCGGGGGAGTCACTGTCCCTGGAGGTGTTCAAGAACTGAGGAGATGTGGCACTGAGGGACACAGTGGGCATGGTGAGGGTGGGTTGGACAGGACTGGATGATCTTAGTGATCTTTTCCAATCTTAATGATTCTGTGATTCTATGAATTCTGTGCATTTAGGAGGTGGGATGAAGGTGCTTGTGGGAGCTGACAAGTCCCAGAGCTTGAGTCCAGCTCTTGCTTTGAATACACAACCCTGATAAATGGTTACTAGAGGGAGGGCAGGCATTACTGTGGGCTAGACGTTGGGACATTGGTTTCTCTGCCTATAAATAATCAGCAGCTGCTCTGCTGGTCTGAGCTTTGTTACTCTGTGTTAGCAGAAGAGCATTCCGTGTCTTGACTTCTCTCCTGGCTCCTACTCTTTATATATATATATATGTATGTATATATTAATTTCCTGCACTAATGTCATTTTTTAAGATTATTTTTTCCCTTTATCAGAGAGTTTTGTGAGCCTTTTGTTTATGGAGACAGACAGCACAAGGGATGAGAAGAGAATTCTCAGCAGCCATGGAGGGGTTACAGCTGCGGGTAAGGCTTCGCTTCATGCAAATCACAACCTCTCACTTTCCTTCACAGCCTCCAGCAGCAAGCAGGGAGGAAAACACCAGCCACATCCGTATATAGCGATCCTGTTAGCTGGGAATGACTCTTGGCTATCAGTGCAGGGGAAATCCAGAAGGCTGCGCAGGATTAAGCACAGAGCATGCTTTAAGCTTCTCCACCTCCCCTTCCTGCAAACAGCCCTCTCCACCCCCTCCCAAACCTGTGCAAGGATGGCTGGCTGGAGGCACACAGGGGCTGCCCATCTCATGAGTTAATCGCCTCCTGTTCAGATGTCAGAAGGAGATGAAGCTGCTATAAATAGGTAGTGAAGCCCTCATGCTTTCAGCTGTGATTCACACACGTGGCAGAGAAGCATTAGGGAGAATTAACATTCAGTCTCTCAGGCACTTTCCTGAGAGCAAATTCCATTCTGTCCCTATCTCTTAATCTCCTTGCCCAGGGGAGATCAGCAGCACTTTCTGGAGGGCCTGCATGGGTAAAATGGACAGGGAAACTTGCAGCAGAACCATCAGGGAGGAAAGACCATTCAGCTGGAGTAACTGAGAAGCACCTTCCTGTGACAAGCAGCTACATTTAGGAGCATGGCAAGGAACACTGCTCCGCCCTTAATGGGGCTGAGATCAGACAGCCTGGATTTGTTGTGGCATGCACAGATGCCTGACAGTGTCCTCTGGGACTGAGGCAGCTTCTGGTGATGGTATGTTCTGGGTTTGGATGAGTATGGGGAGAGGGCAGAATGGTGTACCTCGGTGTCTATGTGAAACTCCCACTCCTTCCCCTCCATCATGAGCTCAGTGAGAAGATGTAGCATGCAGAAGCTGTGTGCACTCGTTCCCATGTGTGTTTGCATTCATTCCTATGTGCCTAAGTGCTTAGTAGCCTCCCTCACCCTGCCTTGCTGTGCCTGTGCTACTACCAGTGTAGGTTATTCTGTCATGTGAGGTGCAGAAACCTCCTCAGACTGGAGGACTAGAATTCACCATCAGCATCTTTGGGTCCCCAGTGGTCTGGGGAATTTGGGGTTTGTGAGATGTGTCCAACATATGTATCAGAAAATCTTTTTCTTTCACCGAGTTCCTAGAGATGCAGGAATCAGCTTCCCAGGGAACCAAGGAAAGTGGTCTGAGAAACTGTGGCCTCATGGTTAAGTCACCTTATTGTAATGGAGTTAAATTCAAGAAAAATCAAGGGCAAAGGCAGCCTTCTACCACTCCTTAGTGCAAGGCCAGGTTGAGCGTGGCCTGGGCAATCCTGACGGGAGCAGGAGGCAGCCAGCCCACAGCAGGGGGTTGGAACTGGATGAGCTTTAAGGCCCCCTCCAACCTAAGCTATTCTATGATTCTATAATCTCATCGTAGCTCCACAAAATGTCTGTCAGTAGAAACCGAAGCCTGCCATTGTGGGGATGATTAATGAGAACTCAATATATGGGCTTTTCCTTAGTGCCTACAAGGACACGAGATGAGAGTGGTTGTATAGAAATAAACGGTGTCCCAACACCATTCCCATCTCTAGGAACATGGGACTTAATCTAACAGGCAGAATATGGGCTGCACGTTTTTTGTGTTTAGCCTCGAGAATGGGTCTGCAGGAAGCTGTATGTGAGGCCATCCTGGACGTCTTAATGACGTTATGGAGGAATCTGGAGCATGTTTCACCTTCAGAAATCTATGTGACTAAGTGGCATCAGATTTGCAACCCAGAATTGCAGCCTAGAGTTTCAGCAGGGATGAGATGCCCCAAACGCATCCCTACAGAGCCACAAAGCCATGTGGAAGGATGGAAGGGGCTATGCAGGTTATCTTATTGTGACAAGACTTAGATGACTTCAGAAGTTCTTGGATTCTTGGAGGTGCTCAAGGCCAGGTTCGATGGAGCCCTGTGAAACCTGATCTGGTGGGGGGCAACCAGCACATGGCAAGGGGTTGGAATAAGATTTAAAGGTCTCTTCTAGCCCAAGTCATGTTATAGACTGTCTAGTAAATCAAAAAAAAAGGAGGAAAAGGAAAAAAAAAATAAAGGAAAAAGGGCCATGTGGAAATCTATAGGAATTATTTTAGACAACCTGAAACAGCTTTGTAGTGTAGGCCATACTGGATGCAAACTGCAGGCTGTATGTTACAGAACATTAATTGCCAAACTTTCTGAAGCACTCTGTTTACTTCTTATAGTCAGTGAAAGAGCAGAGCTCATGCTTACAGACCTAATCATTTGTCATCTGTTCCTTATTTTTGTATAACATTTATATAGTTGTATTACCAACCTGGATGGCCTCCAGTGCTGAGAGATCTGCATCAACCCAAAACATTAGCTGGTTTTCTGAAGCGTCGCCTCTGTAAATGTCAAGCTTGCAGATGGTACATGATATAATGAGACTTGCAGGTGCAAATCAGAAGGGCAGTACATGGTGAAAAGTTCCATCATTCATTTAGAAAAGCTGGATCTTCTCAGACTGGTGGCTGCCATGAACAGATGCTGGACTCTGGGGTTGGAAAATATATCCAGGAATAAGTTGTGGTGGTTGAGAAGTGATGAAATGAGAGCTATAGAAGAATCCTTTCAGCCTGCATGGTGAGATTCATCTCCAGTAAGGTTAAAAGGCAAGCTCTCAGTGTACAAGTGATGTAATTCCATGAGAACCAATAAGACCAACAAAGTGAGGAGTGTATGTCTTGCAGTGAAAGACAAGAAACCATCTCTGGTTCTAATTATTGCAGTGTCTATGGCCAGCTGGGTCACAGCTGGATTTAGTCAGTGTCCCTACAGCAGCTGTATTGTCTGCATGTGCCTTTTTCACCTATTTATTATCCATGCAAGACTGTTTTTCCCTTTCTTTTACTCCCTCTGAGATCATCTCTTTTGTGCCTTCAGCAAGCATCCAGCAGTCGAGGCCTCCTCAAGCTCTCTGTTATGGAAGTGAAGTGGATTCATGTGTTGGTCATCTTCTTCTTCCTGCTGTCTGTTGCTATGACAGGCTGCTTTCTGTGGCAGTACAGCCTCCCCAAGGCGGAGCCCAGTGAGTAGACAGCCTTAAGCTTGATCTTTCTCTCCTTGTGGACATCTTTCCCCATAGAGCTGACTGCACTCAAGTTTACCACATTAGCTGGTGCAAGAACACAGAAAATTGGGTTGATGGGGTACTGTCTAATTCTTCCAAAGGAGCTCACACACAAAAGAAAATTGAGGTGGGGAGGAACGTCTTCAGTTCCTGATGGATTTGCCAATAGTTCTGACCTTCATAGAATCTCAGAATCATTTGTGTTGGAAAAATCCTCTAAGATCATCAAGTCCAGCCACTAACCTAGCACTGCCAAGTCTGCCACTAAACCAAGTCCCTTAGTGACACATCCACACATCTCTTAAATGCTTCCAGGAATGGTGACTCAACTACTTCACTGGGCAACATGTGCCAATGCTTCACAACCCTTTCAGTGAATAATTTTTTCCTGATATCCAATCTAAACCTACCCAGCAAAACAAAGTCCATTTCCTTGTGTTCTGTCACTTGTTGCTTGGGAGAAGAGACTGACCACCCCCATCTCTCTACAACATTCTTTGAAGCAGTTATAAAGAGCAATAATGTCTCCCTTGAGCCATCTTTTCTCTAGGCTAACTTCACTCACCACAACTCTTTGGGCCCAGCCATCCAGCCAGTTCTTTACCCAGTGAAGTGTATACTTATCCAAGCCATGAGCAGCCAGTTTCTCCATGAGAAAGCTGTGGGAAACTGACAAAAGATTTACTTAAAATCTTGGTAGCCTTTCACTCACCCACTAAGCAGGTCACTTTCTCATGAAAGGAGATCAAGTTGGTCAAGGGGGACATGCCTTCCATAAACCCATGGCAAACGTCCTGATTACCTGTTTGTCCTGTATGGGCTGATGATGGCACTCAGGATGATCTATTCCATAACATTCCCCAGTACCAAAGTCAAACTGACAGGCACGTAGTTCTTCAGGTCCTCGTTCTGGCCCATCTTTAACAGATTATTCGGCATATTAAGGGAAAAGGCACTTTATTTCACATTCCCTATGGGTTTGCTTCCTTTCCTATTCCTGTAAGAATAGATCTGTGAACTAGCATGAGTTCCCAGTTCACACTGAAATTTTCTTGATTTATTGTAAACTCAATGGACAGACTCAAGACACTGTGTGTGCAAAGATGTAATATACAGTGTAGCTGGATCACAGTTTTAAGTAGCCCAAAGGTGGCATGAAATCCACAGTGAGGGTGACAGATGTACTTCATAGACTAATAATATAGAGTATAGCATAGAAAGATTTCAAACATGAGGGTTGTTTTTTTTTTTTTTTTTTGCAGAATATCTAAGGCTGCCTGTAGGCTTCCAGTGAGCTCAAAGCTCCTGTACTGCTATTCATCTTCTCATCTGTATTTCTAATGCTTCATGCTCAGAGAAGCATGAAGAACTTAACGAGCAAAGGAGCTATGTTTCTGAGACCCTTGGGATCATCTGGGAAGGGTTACCATTTCACACTGAATCTTTGCTTGCCCTCCAAATTTAAGACATATCTCTGGAATATGCAGGATACTGCTAATTCAGAGGACAGCTGATAAACTTGTTTGTGCAATTGTCAACAGTTCACATGTACCATGGTCATAAAACTGTGACAGCAATGCATGTATTCCATCACCCATTGTTAAAGCATTAGGTTTCAGGTGGCACTCACAATTCACTGCTACATCCATATTCTGAGGTTACAACATGCATGGGACTGTTTTCCTTTTGAAACCAAGCACAGATCTTTCCCTGTATGTTGGCAGTGCACTTTCACCAGGTCTCCATCCACTGACAAGTATGCTCCATAGTCTTCTGTAGTCCCAGCCTCTTAGTCTCTCATTCCAGCTTGCAGTCAGTTGGAGCCTATTAGTGGGCAGTATTGGTGACTGATGGACAGTTGGACTGGTGGACAGTTGGACTGGATGATCTTAGAGGTCTTTTCCAAACTTAATGATTCTATGATTCTGTTGCAGCTTCTACTTGTCCCATGTGCTGTATCACGTTGGAATGAACAATAGAAGAGCACAGTGCTCCCTTCAAGTCCTACATTATCTGAGATAGAAACAATTCATGATTCTCTCTCTGTCTATGCTGAAGTGTCTTTCAGTTTTGGACGATACAATGAATAAAGCTAGTGCTGACTGCTGGAAGAGGTTAAAGTTTGTCAGTATATCTTTTCAAATCATGTATATTGTCTGTGAAATGTTTTCCAGACCCACCTGTGATGGAAGTAAGATCAGAATCTGTGCAGATGTGCCCACGCTACCCTGAACCAGTACCACTGGACCACCCAATCCCCATTTTGAAGGAAGCATTGGAGAAGGTCTGTGAGAAGGGAACTGGAGAGATGTAGTTCATGACTGCTGTTCTGAAGGAGCCAATGTGCATTTTGACCCTGAGCATCTTAGAGCAAGAACATAGGGCACAGAGGAGGTGGAGATCATCTGAATATACAAATGAGCCACATTCTGACAAGACACCCTGGATTTTATGCACCTCAATCATATAATACAAACTTTCCTTTGTCTCTTCCCAGGCTGCAGAGTCCTTGCTCAAGTAATCATAATACAGAAGCTGTCTCACAGCTGTGAGCACTATTTTTGCTTTTATTTGATTATCCTATTCTAGCATATTTGTGGAGATGCAGAGAATCTAGACAGCATTCAGATTGCAAGAAACTCTTCTGTTTCACAAATTATATAAAGCATGGAGAACCTGAACACTATATACATAGAAAGACACAGGTACTGGAAGGGGTCTTAGGCACCATCACCTAAAGACTGTATCTTCAGATGCTCTCAGGTTCTGCCTAGGTCTGTGGACACTTGGACTCCCATTCAAGATCTTGCCTTAGCTGAGATCTCTTCTTAATGGAATGTGAGATCCTTGGTTCTGTCTCTCAGCTTCCACCCCCTGATAACCAGTATATGGAAAATGCCCAGAACTCCCATTGGAACGAGGGTTGTACATTTATTAATGCAAACATTACTTTGAAAACCAAGGTAGGGAGGAACACAAGCCCCATTCTCAGTGCTGATGTTCAGAGTCATGTTGGAGGGTAACCACAGAGTATCGTTTGGGACTGGTCTCACCTCTGAAGTCTGTCTGAGCTCCAGACCTTCCCTGGGATGTTCTAGCTTTTCTACCTCCATCTGCAGCTCGAGTGGGTGTGATACTTTACTTGGCTACCATAACCGTGATGGTATATGAGGTGCAAGGTGGTTATTTCCATTGCTGGCTATCTGGCCACCTTACCCACTCATCCAGAGAGGACAATACTTGGCTTGGCCATTCTTGTCTCAAACACTAATCTTGGAAGGCCATTTCTTTTGTCTTGATAATTTTATGCAAAAGATAACTTACATGTAATGATGAAATCATTGAATCATTAAGGTTGGAAAAGACCACTAAGAACACCAAATCCAACCTCAACCCACCCCCACCATGCCCACTAACCATGTCTCTCAGTGCCACATCTCCGTGTTTCATCAACGCTTTCTCTGGGCAGCCCCTTCCAATACCTCACCAGTCTTCCTGAGAATAAATTTTTCCTAATATCCAACGTAAGTATAGCTTTGAAAAAGTCAAAAAAGCAATACATTCTGCTTGTGGGGGGACCGCAATGGCTAATTGGGTCCATACAGACCTGGAAAAAACAGGAAGGGAAGAGAAATCACAGCCCTCAATGTATTCAGTACTGTTTCTATGAGTGCAGTTTAAACAGGACTGCGTGTAGTACTGCCTTTTGCATGCTCTATTCATTACAAGACTCCTGATTTGGTAATTCATCGTTTCCTATCGTTCTCCAGGTAGACTTGATGCTGCGCCAAAAGATTCATAACTCTGGTCTTCCTGCCATGTCTGCCATCGTTATCTACAATGACACTGTGCTCTGGACGGGCAACTTTGGAAAGAAGAATGCTTCAGATCCCTTCTCAGTGGTGCCCAATGAGTACACTATTTACAGGTGAGACAGATGTACTGAAGGCATGAGGGCTAAAAGGAGAACGATTACACATAAAGGAAAGTAAGGGGGAGTCACATCTTTGGGAGCAGAACCACTGTCACAAACCATGACTTTTCTTGCCCCAGGCCCAGTGTATTCTGAAGAAACTTATGGGTCACACTGAATCTTTGAGAGACAATGCTATCACTAGTCACTACATTACATGCTTGTAACTCACTGAATTGTTTTCCTTTTTTTCCTCTCTTTTAATTTTTGTTGCTGTTATTTTCTGTTGATCTGGTTTGGTTTTAGCTGGATCTGACTTTGAGTGGAGTTACTGTGAACTTCTTGGAGACCTACAAAAGGTTCTGCTCCTCACATAAGAAAGTCTCTGTTCTTTGAGGAGGTCTAGGGCATAAATCTGAACACTGAGAGCTAGCACATATTTTGTGAACAGTAAGAACAGAGTGCCATATATATATCTGTATAAAAAAAACAATAGGATTTTGGAAGACTATATTCTGAGTGTATAAAGTAGGTCTGCATACTAATGAAGCCAAGGCCATATGGGCTATTGTATTTTAGATGAAAACAGAATAAAGCTCTTAGTGTGTGGTAAAAACCATAACAAAAAGAAAACAAGAAGTATTTGCTTTCTTTAAAGACCTATTTTCAGTGATTAATAACTGTGCTGTACATGAAACACATGGTCTGCATGCTATCAAATGTTATCCTTAGAGTAAACAGTTCTGAAAAGTTTCAGCAGCTGTGATTAACTTACCCCCCCTGCCCCCATCACCACAGCATACCTGCAGAGAGGACCTTGCACTCCTTCTTCCAGAAGACCTTCTTCAAATTTAACTGTTTGGAAGCCACCTAAATAGCAAATCTGACTATGAAATGCAAAATTTTGTGGCATTTAAATCTTAAAATTCCAAGAAATGACTTGCAATTTATTATGATGTTCAGTAAGGAATAATTTACAAAATATGTCATCTTATAAATACTAAGTGAACAAAGTTCTGTACTCAGCTGCACTATTGGTGTTGCTTTTAATCATTTAAACATCATTTAAAATACATTCTTTTGCCAAAACACATTTGAAAGACTCATTACTCAGTGCAGAATACTGAACACTGTGTAGCAGTCCATGAAGGCCAGAGTTAAGGATATTAATCCAATCTACTTTCCTGCATGTTAGCCATTCTGTTATGAATTAACCAGAGGTATTGTATGCAAAGCTGCAGGTAGTGGGTCAATTTGGTGATCTTATGTAGTGAACATCTAACTTTGATTCATGGGTTTCTTAATACTTACTTTCTATAAACATTTATTCCTGCACAGAATCGCCAGTGTCTCCAAGATCTTTCCCACCCTTATGCTGTACAAGATGTGGGAGGAAGGGAAAGTCACATCTCTGGATGACCCTTTGGAACGTTACGCCCAGAACTTTGCTATTAAAAACCCTTTGGGAAGGTTCAGGGAATCAGAACAGAGATATACAGCAGATGGGCTGATCTTTGTGGAAAAAGGTTCGATACCACTTAAGCCATCACCTGTTACCTTGCGCAGGATGGCCAGCCAGCTCTCAGGTGAGACAACGCTGCTCACTCCCTGCCTACCATCTGAAAGAGGCCACTGGGAGAACAGATCAGATGCCAGGAATAAGAAAGTCTGCTCTTGACGCCATTTACCAGCATGGGCTCTGCACCTCTGCACTTCCCAGTGATAAATGGAGTCTTCTCCAGGCCACCTGCTCGGAAAGGGGCCAGGCAGCACTGTGGGCTGGGGAATTGCTTTCCCCATGCAAGGTGAATATATGTGTCTTTCAACACAGTAGCTTGACCTGAAACCACTTTCAAATTGCATAACTGTTTTTGCACTCCAGCCCAGAGTGCTCTCATTTTTCTAAGAAGTAGAGGTGAGGGTCAAAGTGGCACCAAACCTCTTTGCTTTGAATAGATAGACCTTGATTGTGGTCCTAAATATAGCTGTCAGCGTGCTTCCTGATCTGGGATTCCTGAGCTATTAATAGCTTTGTACTTGCTGGCAGAAGACTATTAATCTGCTGCTACTTTCATACTTGTGTAACTCTAATGTTGTGGTAGAAGGAGCTCACAGGACTCAGGAGATCTTTAACCTCTTTGAAATAGAGCTGTTAATACTCAACGTGGGGATTCCAGAATTTACTGCCAAAAAGACCATGCTGAGATTTCCTGCAGCACTGAGATCACACTTTGCATTATTCCAGTTGAGAATAAAATAACCCAAATTAGAATCTTTGATTAAAATAACCTGTAGGCAAATTGCAATAGTATAGAGCAGAGCACTACCTGAAGCCATCCCATAGTAGGATATGTCCTAAAAATACTCATAGGAAGCATACCTGGTTGTAGCATAATTGTTTATAAAGTATAGATGTTGCTTCTCACCGTGTTGGTTTTTATCTGCAACTTCCCCAACATGTTTATAGCACACATGTATAGCACACCATCAGGGCACAGCAACCAACTTGGACACTGACAATCTAATGCTGCAGAAGCCCAATTTCAAAAGCTCAACTGAAAATTAAATGAACGTTGAGGTCACCTGTTATATTTCCTGGCTGCGAAAATAAAACATAACAAGAAGGAGAAGGTTCTGCAATATAAAAGCCACCATGTGACACTGAGGGACATGGCTTAGTAGGCATGGTAGTGATGGTTGGACTAGGTGATCTCAGTGGTCTTTTCCAACCTTAATGGTTCTGTGACTCTAAGATATTGTGAAGTGTTTTTGCACATCAGTTCCTCCAGTAGAAAGCCCATTATCTGCTGAGATATTCTAAGTGCATCTCTTATCTAGTCATTATGATGCACAAATAACCCTGGAATAGAAGCAGAAAAAGAGCTTTTCTTCCAGTTCAAATCCCAAAGTCAGGCCAATTCAGAAAAGCAAGTCCTGCTGCCACAAAAGAAAAGGGCCTCATTCAACTTTTCCATAATTAAGCACAAGCTCATGGAGCAGATGTTTGCAAGTCACGTTTATGTCTTGTACCCTTCCTGATTTTCTCCTAGCTTCTGAGTGAAAATCAGCTGTAAACTGCAAGAATTATCTAATTCTAGATGTAATCCAGGTTCTGGGATTGGTGAGCCAATAGACTCCATGCAAAGGAACTGTGGCATTTTAGAAAGTCCTGGCAAAATATATTTGGGGAATTCATTTTTAGAGAATTTTCATGCAAATTCCAGAACATGGCACTACGCTACCTACAGTGAAGAAAATTAACTCCCTCCCAGCCAGACCAGGACATTGGACCACAGCTTGTGCCACGTTGTTGAATGTTTTTTCCTCTATGTACAGGTCTCCCCAGGAGACTGCGATCTACCAGCCTGCTGTGGAAAGGCAACACACAAGAAGCTCTAGCTCTCCTGAAGGATGATGTCTTGGTGGCTGATCCTGGAACCAGGTCAGATATTTTCACTTAAGAGCTTTTGGGTTGAGTCCATGACCAATGGAAAAAGACTGCTATTCCTAGAGGGAGCTTCAGATCATCCATCTACAAATAGATATATTTGTGAGGCACTGGGACAGGTTGCACAGAGAGGTGCTGAGTGCCCCATCCCTGAGACATACAAGGTCAGGCTGACAGGGCTCTGAGCACTGATGGAGCTGTGGGTGTCCCTGCTCATTGCAGGGGGTTGGACCTGATGGTCTTTAAGAGTCCCTTCCAACTCAAACCATTCTATGAGTCTATGTTTCTAAATACATCTGTTTTAGGTTGGAAAGAGTTACTTTTGGAAGTGTCCCTAGATGGGGCAAATAGATTGTTGTACTTAGGTCCAATGATCCTTCAGCTGTCAATCTGCAGATTTACAACAGTGATCAGGCCTAGTCAATTTAAACCATCATTTATTTTCACAGAATTGTAGAATGCCTTGGATTGGAAAGGACCTCAAAGATAACCAAGTTCCAACCCCTGCTATGGACAGGGTTGCCAGCCACCCACTACATCAGGCACCAGATCAGGCTTCCCAAGGCCCCATCTAGCCTGGCCTTGAACACCTCCAGGGATGGGGCATCCAGTTCTTTGGGCAGCCTACGCCAACACCTCACCACTCTTCCCCCTGACATCTAATCTAAATCTTCCCTCCTTTAGTTTAAAGCCATTCCCCCTTGTCCCGTCAAAAAGTCCTACTGAAATTTACCCTATATCTGTAGAAATCTACATGTCTCTAAATCAGATACTGGCTGCAATTTGTGTAGTGTTAAGTCTGTTACTTGAACTGCAATCAAACACTAAAACATATGAACAATCATAGAATCATAAGATCATAGAATGGCCTGGGTTGGAAGGGGCCTGAAGGATCATCAAACACCAACAAGATCCACTGGACAGTGAGTGAGGGAAAAGATTTAGACTAACTGGGAAAAGTTCTTCAAAAATGTTCAGTTTTTTAAAAATTATATTCTCAAATAATTTGCTTAGAGCTTCTGAAGACTCATGATGACACAAAGTATGTAATCTTAGAAAATTGGCTTATGGGTTGGGTTCAAAGGGTTGTAGTAAATGAGGTTACATCAGGCTGGCAGTCAGTCACTACAGGGGGTTTCCCTAGGGCTTCATTTTGGGGCCATTTCTCTTTAATATTTTTATAAATGATCTGGATGCAAAACTCAAATGCAAACTAAGAAAGTTTGTGGATGATTCTAAATTAGGAGGAACTGCTGACTGCTTCAAGGAAGGAGGGGTCTCCTTCAAATGTGAGGGTTTGGACACCACTGTCAGACACAGAGTTTGGATTTTTGGTGGCCCTGTGTGGAGCCAGCAGTTGGAGTCAGTGATCCTTGTGGGTCCCTTTAATTTCAGCATATTCTGATTCTACTATAATATATTTTTCTTGGAAAGGTGAACGTCAGTCAGTTTTAGACATAAATTTTTAGTCCAACATGGATTTATTCCTGTGGCAAATTATATGTCATGAGAAATTTGCTGGAACTGGCTAAAGTGGTACCAAATTTATGACCTCAGTAGGCCTCAGTAAGAGGAGATATTTAACATATAAAATATGTTAAAAACATGATTTTTGAAAAAGTGTGTGAAAGAAAATTACCCATTCATATCTTTATGTCATTAAACTTAATTCAAGTGCAAAGACTCAGTGCCCGTTATGGATATTAAAGACTTACACTTTGATGTCTTTAATCACTCAACATTACTGGATTCTGCTTTTGAGACTTATAAGTGCTTTTTAAGTGCTTTTACCATCTTAAGATAGCTTAGGTCCTGAAGTTATTGCACCATGTTAAATCTCCAGAGACTCGTCTGGGATTTTGAGACCTTTAAAGTAAGCACCTGTACCTCTTGACTCTGCTCTTGAAAAGAATGAACACATTCTTTTGGTGAAAAGTGATGAACAATAAGTCAGAATATGCAAATATAAGTTTTCACCTGAAGTTTTCTGTCTTTGGCCTTCTTTCTGTATGTAGCAGTTAAACAGCTCAGCTGATGTGCACAAAAGAAATTTCTGTCTTAAGAAGAAATCAAGACATTAACACTTTGTCACAGCCTCATCACTGCTCTCCCTTTAACATGTGATCTGATAAAAGTAGCATCTTTCCCCAGAGGAGAGAGACCCAGCCATTGTTATTTGCAAAATCATATCCACACAGTGTAACTAAAGTAAGGCTGATGCAGGACTACATGACCTTCTAGGGTCCCTTCCAACTCAAATTATTCTATGCTTCTGTCTTTCTTTCTTTCCAGATGCCACTACAGCAATTTGGCCTTCTCTCTGATGGCACACGTGCTAGCTGACCATGCAGCTGATGGACAATACCAGCGATGGATCTCGGAGAACATCCTGGACCGCTTGGGCATGGAGGACACTGGCTTTGACATCACACCACCCATCCGCTCCCAGATGGCGGTGGGTTTCTATAGCAGCCAGCAGCCAGCCCCTCTCTACGACCTCGGCTGGTACAGACCTTCTGGACAGATGTACTCTACAGCTGCTGACCTTGCCAAGCTGGCAATGGTCTTTTTAGGCACCTATCACCGTCGTCTCCTAGAGCCTGACACAGTGAAGACAATGCTGACACCTCTGTTTAAGTGCTCCACTGAATACTTTGCCAACAAGACTGGAACGCCCTGGGAGATTAACGAGCAATTGGGATATGATGTCATCAGGAAGGATGGAGACCTTGATGGCTATTCAGCTACTTTCTCACTGATCCCCAAGCTCCGCCTGAGCTTCATTGTACTGATGGCTGGGCCCAGGCCTCAGGGTGGAGATCTTGTGACCCAGACATATGAGTATCTCATCACTGCCATGGAGACTGCGTTCAGAGAGGCAGAGAAAACATTGACTCCTCCCCCAAGCCCAGTCCCTTTTGTTGGCTATTATACCTATTCCAATCTGACTTTCTATGAGATCAAAGTTGGACGCGGTGGGGTGCTGGTCATGCAGCAGTTTGGGCCTCATGCTGAAGAGCTGATTCCTGAGAAATATCGGACAATCAAGCTCCATCATCTGGAAGATCGTGTCTTCCAAGTTGTTTTTGACAAGGAGTTTCCATGTGTTCTGCACCTGGGCTCTGCCTCCATCTCACTGGAGACCCAGAATGGGCAGCTCTTTAATTTTTATCCATTTGATCGCAAGGGTTTGTCTCCTGGCTTTGATGCACCAGGGCTGAACACATACAACGTGGTGCGTGTACTTCGTAAACCTGTCTTCTATAGCTAAATGTCCCCTCTTCTTTTCTGACTATTCCTGGGGGGTGACTCCAAATCTGCATCTTTCCAGACTCTCCTTCTATGTGGCTTTTTGGATGCCATTAATTGGGAAATATACTGGCAAATGACTGTTACTTCCAACAGACATATCATGTCTCACTTCTGAAATGACTGCAACGGCTTGCCATCCCTGTTCCTGCATGGCAGATTGGCTAGCAATGGGGATGCCTACAGAAAAAAACAAAAAAAACAAAAAAAAAAAACAGGTAGAAATGAGGTGAATGAATGCTGTTTGGATGCCATTAAAAAAAAAAACAAAAAAAACAGGTTTTATGTCTTCACAATTAAAATGGCCATTGTGGCCATTATACTGGAACTATCAAAGGGCTGGGAAATTCCTGTGTCTCTTTCAGGGCTGTTGGTGACCCCACCTCCCATGACCAAGATTTTTTCAATGGATTTGCTCAAAAATGGCACCAACATGATACCAGGCTCTGCTTGTGATACCTGAGAAGTGGGATTCCATTTCTTTCCAGGTTCACATCAAGTAAACTGTGAAAAGAGCTTAAAACAATATGGTTTTGTCTTGGCTCCATGGATTTCTGCAAAAGCTGTGGTCACACTATGGATTTTGTAGCACTTAACTGTAAAAGATGAAGCATGCTGCTGTGAGCAGAGTCATATGAACACATGCTGCTACATTCCAGGTGGAATCAAGCTTGTTACTGTCTCAGTGCATAGTGTGTGATATTTGAGTGTGATATTTAGGTGTGTGAGTGTGGTATTTAAGTACAGGAACGTGTGGGAATATGTATATTTGGGGCACAGTATCTGTGCAGATAAATACCTGTTCTGTTTATGCATTTGAGTGAGGATGGGAACTGAAAATGCATTCCCCTGGGGAGTGGGATAGATGCACATTTAGGATAGATGCACCTCTAAGAATTCTGCAAAGCAACAAATTCATTCTCTTCTCCCTTCTTGTGACCACTCCGTGCCAAGGTAATCAGGATGGGTGGTGTATATTAACAGCCAATTATCATATCAGTAGTAGCCAATATCATGTCACAGTGATGGCAATGGAGTCAGACACCATGCAAGCAAGGCAGGGCGACTACCACTGATTGAGAAGTCTTGGATCTTGCAATACACCTTCAGGTTCAGGAGAGTGTTGTAATTGGAGCCTGAAAAAAAAACAAGCAGTGAGTCAGAGCAAAGCAACCTTAATTTAAGTAGCCTCACTGCAAAGTGTGGTAATGGCTGTACAGCATGGCAATCCTGCAGGAAGTGCAAAAGTTAGGCATACTAGCACAATCAGAGACTTTTCAAAGTGTTTATTCTTCCATACCATCACTGGTATGGAGCTGGGTCCTCTTGCAGAGTGACCTCCTTTGCTCAAACAGTCTTGAAAGTGGATGTCTCTTTGAGGATTGGAAAGTAAATCTCCCTGCATCTTGTCCCTCTTGTTGTCTCTCCCTGATTTTATTCTGTGTGTAGTTCCTCAACTCTGATTTCAAGTAGAGATACCATCACTAAATGTCTAGAAACCTAACTGGCAAATATGGTTCCCTGCCTTTTTTCAGACAATTTCAGTTCCTTGGCAAACATATGGAATAACATAAGCCTTGCCTTACAATCAGTCATGGTTGCTGCTGTATGGGTTTCCTCGTATGTTTAACACCCTCATATGTTCAAGTATTTAATCTGGGCTATAGAAACAATACACTCAATGCAAATTCTCTCTATAGGCCAGTGATGTGCTTACGCCCAGAGATAAGGTTGCAGACATGATGCACTGCTGTTGTATTTCCTGTAGAGATGCATAAACTATGTCTTGGCATGCCTGATGTAACAGAGACTGTTCTTCTTGCTTCGGAACTTATATATCAGCTACCATTAAATGCCTCTGAGTGATTATATCACGCTCCCACAAACCCACCAAGGCAAGTGCCATGTGCTTACAGTGCTGGAAGCATATCCCACGTCCCACAACACTTCCCAAAGCAGCATCCTGGGCCTTGGCAAGCAAGACTCATGGTGACATGGCACCCAGAAGGAATGGAGTCCGACAACGAGACTCGCTTCTGAAACAGCCTCATAGACATAATTGTGTTGTGCATCACTTGTTTTGTATATTATTTTAACATCATTATTATAATTACTTTCCCTTCTTTTTCTGTCCTATTAAACAACCTTTGTCTAAACCCGTGAGCTTTATCTTCTTTATTTTTTTCCAGTCCTCTCCCCTGTCCCACTGTGGGGGATTGAGGGAACGTCTGTGTGATACTTGGCTGCCTGCTGGGTTAAACCACAACAGCTCACAAACTCTCTATCTGACAGTGAGCTGAAGTCAAATGCCCCTTTCCACCCTGCCCTTGGAAGCTCTTCATGACTGCTTCCCCACTCTTGGATGTTCTTTTCAAGTTGGGGACTAAGAATTAGAGACTTTAGATCCATCCAGTTCTCAGAATTGAAGGAAACACTGAGAAATATCCACCATGTGCATGCCCCATGCCTGGAGGTGCTAAAGGCCAGGCTGGATGGGGCCCTGGGCAGCCTGAGCTGGTGGGGAGCAACCAGCCCATGGTAGAGGTTGGAGCCATCCTCCATCCTCAGCCATTCTGTGATTCTATGATAAGATTCTATGTTCATGTCTTTACACCGGGATTCAAGGTCATCAGTGCAAACTGGAACAAAAAACTGCAGCTTCTTCCCTGACAGACAGGTTTATGCTTTCTCAGTACCTTTTTCCACATCCTTTTCTCTTTATGATTCGTGTCATGCTCTTGAAATGCCATTCAGGCATTTGCAGGAGGGGAGCTGCAATAGTAATTTTTATTAGATGAATTTTATAACAAGTTCAACAATAAACTATTTTGATTGTATCTAAGGCTCTTTTGCTGGTTCATGACTACTTGTTTTTTCTATCCATTTGGATGTAGGATAAATGTTGATAAAAAGAAGTCATTAATTTCCTAATTAAAAAAAAAAAAAAGAGCAGTAAAAATACAAGATTCCTGCATAATATCACAGATTTATGACTAATCCTGAATTGCTGACAGAGTAATTTCTACAGTTTGGATTTCTGGCAATATAGCTGACAGTAAATATAGCAATTTTATGCATGAATCCTCCCATTTTGGGACATCTTGCTTGTGAAACTCCCTTCCTACTCCCAGATTCCCACAGTATTTCATGGTCAGATTCAAGATCCTATGGGAGAGAAGTGAGGAAGAGGAGAAGAGAGAAAGATCTGTGTGTTTTCCCCTTGCAACCCCAAACAAATCACAGGATCCAGCTTTATTGTGAGGACTCTTCCTTATATGTTCTTGTAAGACTCAACTTCCATATTTTTCATGTGCAAGGGAAAGTTTTATAGCAATTTGTTTCCGATTTGTATAAAGCAACAGAAACTCATGTTCCTTTTGTGCTGACTTTTTACTGATTTTGGGAAATAGGCAATGAACTGAGGGAATGAAACCAACAGTGCTTAAAGATATCATTTTCTTTCCTCTTTTATTTTTCTCCTTTAGGCTGTATCTTCTTTAAATTATTAAGGAGCTTTTCCTCATGAATCAGTGGCCCTTATTTCGGAAGCTGAAAACAAATCCAAATTTTTCTTACGGTGTGAGATAATGTAGTAAGCATAATTGAAAAAAATATTTTGCGTATGGATGTAAATCTGGAAATTCACATAAATAGATGTAAATGTATATCTTGAAGACTTTATCTCTGTCAAGGAGATCTGACATATGCTTAGAGGGAAAGATAATGCTTGGAAATCTTTGTCAGAACGTTAGCGTGCGTCAACTCCATAAACTCCAGCCATAAAACTCAAGGTCAGTGAAGGAGGAAAGGTATGCAAAGAGTACTCATTCATCAACTATCTTCCGGCTAGAGGCCACGAAGAAGTGTTCCTCTGCATGTAGCAAAGGTGTGTGTCCCAAAGGATTACTGAGGAACCATTGGGTCCAACACCAGGATCTTCCAGATTTGAAGAATAGATTCCAACTGGCCTTCTCTTCCTTACAGTAACCTGCTCTGTGGTTCTACCCTAAATCATCATTGTGTTTTACACACAAACTTTTCAACAAAACTTGTCCCATTTCCTCCTGCTTGCAAAATTAAGTCAGTGAAGTATGATTTCTGTCTGGCAGAGAGGTTTTTGAGGTTGGATGCAGAGGTTTCTGACGTTATACTCAATTAATCTTGAGAACACCTGACAGAGAAGTTTTGGAGATATCAGAGATGCTGATATATCTAATATACTAGTGCCCAGAGAAGGACACTGTGAAGCTATGAAGGGTCTGGAGCACAGTCTTTTGGGGAGAAGTTGAGGGAACGGGGGTGGTTCAGTCTGGAGCAGAAGAGGCTCAGGAGACCTCATCACTCTCTACAAGTCCAGAAAGGAGGTTGTGGCAAGGTGGGGTCAGCCTCTGCTCCCAGGTAACAGCATCAGGAAAAAAGGTAATGGCTTCACACTGCATCAGGAGAGGTCCTGGTTGGATATTAGGAACAATTTCTTCTCAGAAGGAGTGGTGATGCATTGGCACAGGCTGCCCAGGGAGGTGGTGGAGTCACCATCCCTGGAGGTGCTCAAGAAACAGAGAGATGTGGTACTGAGGGACGTGGTGAAGGTGGGTTGAGGTTGGACTGGATGATCTTGGAGGTCACAGAATCATAGAATCGGTAAGGTTGGAAAAGACCAAGTCATCCATTCCAACTATCCACTACCATCAATATTGCCCACTAAACCACATCCCTAAGTGCTACATCTACCCTTTCCTTCAGGTCTTTTCCAACCTTAATGACTCTATGATTCTAATGCATTCTTCAACATGTGCAGTGACCCAACCCTGTTTCAGCTCTAAAACTGATGCTTAAAGTGATGAGCTCCCCAGTGGCCTATGGGCATACTCCTAAGGAAAAATAACTTTTCTGACCTTCTGTTGTACAGTAGAGTCATGCACCTGCATGACACTTGTTCCTCACATTACTGCTAACCCCCAAATTAAGGTTAATAGTCCTAGATGGAGTGTTCCAGTGCTGTGTGATTGTGTAGCCTTGTGTAGATGAAACTAAAATTGTAGCCAAACCTCCACTGAGCAAGAGTTTTACGAAGCCTGGTTATGGAATGAATCATCACTACTGTGACTCACAGCTTCATTTTTTGGGTAAAACATAAAATAAATATGTGAAATGCCAGCCTACTGAGAGACTGCTATTCCACTCCACAGGCTCAGTATCACGGGGATCGTGATGTACAGTGTCAATGAATTTC